TATATATATATTTCATGACGACCCCTTTGGTTGGGAAACGATTTAATTAATTTTTTAAACCATGAACCCCATTTGTATATATATAGATCAAAAAGTTTTTATGTATGACGTGAACTTAGGAAAAATAGACATGATATTGTGTTATGATCCGAATTAGAATTAAGCAAATTACTTGACTTAGAAAGTTTTAACGAGGCTCATGCTGCTACTTTAATTATTGACCTATTGTACACTAAGTTTAATCATAGCTGCGATAAGTTTTCTCCTCTGAGTTGGCTTCTTCTAATGGTTGTGTCGCTTTAGGGTGGAATTCCTCTCCTTTTAACTTTTTGTACATTTCCTTTTTTTTTTTTTCCTTTCTTGATAAATTTCAGCTCATGGATGTCAACTTAGTTGTGATGTATTAATACATGTTGTATATATTAACCTTTTACTTAAAAAAAAAAAGTTAATCGCACTGGTTTGTGCTGCAAATTGCGAAAGGATCTCCAACATATCATAGATTTGTGGCATGAACATATACGTTTAGAAATGATCAGGAATATCTTTAATATATATATATATATATATATTAAATATTGAGCTGCAGTCTGATAGAATGGAGAACGAAACAGGTATATATATGTATGTGTGTGTTTGTATATATGGAAAGAACTTGGTGCCTTTATCATTAAGTACAAGACCATTTTAGAACCATATATATAGAAAGCCAAAACAGAAACGGAAAGGTAGTAATGTTTGACAAACACCCTAAGTATATGTTTGTTCTACTTTGAGAAAAACCGGCAAACAAACTCAATCACTGTGCGTGCGTGTTGTTGGTTGATGAACACATATAGTATTATTAGAGTCCGTTTAGTTCGCTGATTAAAATTTTTAATTCGAGTTGAGATGTAATTTTATATGAGAATTTTTTATTATAATAAAAAAATTTAATGTAATTACTTTTTAGAATTTTTTACTCTAACAAAACTTGAATTGATAAAATTAACTGCCCTTATTAATTGATTTTTATTTTGGATAAGTCATGTTGTTGATTAATGCTCATATTGATATTATAGATTAGATATTCAGGTAAAGGCAAGAGGAATGGCTAGTTCATGACAAAGGTCAACTTTCGTTGAGTGGTGCAGATTTATTACGTGCAACCTGTTGCCAACAGTAGTAGTGTTTACAATTCGGATTTGATTGAGTGATTTTGATATGTCGAAGAAGAAGCCTGCAAAAATTCCTTCTTCTACGTCACATTATATTTATACATTTCACACCAAAAACACACCATACTGGTTTTTTTTTTTTTTTTTTTTGCATGAACTATCACGTATGTTAATCATGACGACAACGACCTAAAATACATTACTCTCTCTCTCTCTCTCTCCCTCTCTCTAAACTGATCTATTATAAAAAGTTACAGGTGTTGGGATTTTAGAAGTTGGTTTTGGAATATCGGAGAAGAAGTAATGATATTGAGTAATGGGATTGTTGGAGACATATCAAAGGGAAAGTCATGATCATGGCCAGTCTTTGAGTCCAGGGTCTCTGGCTATTACGTGATTGGTTGGTATGAAAGTAGAACTAGGTACGTGGCAAGTGGAGAGTGGTGCATGGTCAAGTAGTTCTATGGGTGGTCCCGGCCCCAGCAGAGGATTCGGTACAGTCACCATCACCGTGATGGGATTGATCTTCTAGTATAGGCCCGTCCGGTTTGAGGGTGTTTGTGTGAAGTGAAATGACAAGCTTATTAATCAACTAACAAACAGTGCTCTTCTCCTTATGAAGTGCATTTCAAACCATAATTTTTACTTTTATAGTGTTTTCTTTTTATAAAAAATTAAAATTATAAACTATAGTTTAAATTTATGAATTAAACGGATCTCTTAAAAGCTCGTTTAGTTCATGGATTAAAATTATTTTCGATTTATGTGTATTTTTTATGAGAGAAAATACTATAGCGAATCATAAATCATGATTCGAATCAGAGAACGAATCTTCTAACTAAACGGGCTCTCAGACAATATATTAAAAGTCTCAAAGAGACTTCTGTGGTTTCGCACCTAGGGAGGAAACGTATCGTCTATGAGAGCCCACATTTTATTTTTTTACTTTTCTTTCTTTTATTTGTTTTTATGTCTCTATTTTTTTTTTTAGAGAAAATAATAAATAACATATTTATAAATTAGATTAAATAAATAACATATTTTAAAAATATTTGAAGTAAATAACAATTTACGTGTTAAATGAATTATTTACCGCGTACATAGTACATTCATGATTTGTACAAACATTTTTTCACGTAAATTCACTTTTTACGACTGGTGAAAAGATTTTTTTTCCACGTAATTAAAGATTTTTTACCAATCATAAATGAATTATTTACCGTATAAATAATTCATTTACTATGTAAACTACTATTTATTTCAAATAGTTTTAAAATTCGTTATCTACTTAATTTTGTTTCAAAAATCTACTATTTACTATAATTTTCTCTTTCTTTTTTATTTGCTTCTTTAGTCTTTTATTTTAGTTTTTTTCTCTCACCCTTATTTAATATCATCATTTTAGTTCCTTTTTTTCTTTCTTTTGTTTTTTGGTCCTTTTTCTTTTTTTATTTTCTT